ATCGTATTAAAGAATGCCAAGGCCATGAAATTAGATTCATTCATTCCAGAAAGAAGGCAATGGGAAATCACTTCTGCGAAGCTGCTAAGACAGCTGCATGGCTACAATCGTGGAATTATTGGATAAGTATTCTTTATCCAAGGGTCTGACTCTTTCTAAAAGGCAGTTTTCCACGTGTCACTAATGTAAGATTCCATTTACTTTGATCCCATCAATGCTGGAGCCACCTGCGCTTCCCGTCTGGTCAACGAGGAAGATGATGTCCCTGGTCACCGTCTGAATGTCAGGAGAAACGCTGCTTATCTTGGGGCAGAAATTCAGCATCAGGACAGGATTGTAGAAAAGGTCTTTGTGGAATCTCTTCTGGACAAAGGCAACCTAGGAGCAAGAAAAGAAGAAAACCCGTTAAAGGAGATCTTTAAATCTGAGACTTTGTTTTGCTGATATGGACATACTTTAAAGCTCTGGGCAATTCTGAAGGATCCAAACCTCCTGGTTGCAGGAGGGAAAGTCCATCTAGCCGAGGATGTTTCCATTTGCCTCTCGGAGGTTTTAAGTAAACGTCTTTCTTTTTTTATCTATCTATCTATCTATCTATCTATCTATCTATCTATCTATCTATCATCTATCTATCTATCATCTATCTATCTATATCCTCCCACTTATGACTGTATGACTGTGACCTTGTTGCTGGTATCCTTACGATTTATATTGGCTGTTTCCTAATATGATTTGATTGCTTATTTGTTCCCTATGACTATCATTAAGTGTTGTACCTTATGATTACTGATGAATGTCTCTTTTCTTTTATGTACACTGAGAGCATATGCACCAAAGACAAATTCCTTGTGTGTCCAATCACACTTGGCCAATAAAAAATTCTATTCTATTCTATTCTATTCTATTCTATTCTATTCTATTCTATAATTTGGGGTTCCCTCTAGGGATGGATACAATATCCATTGCTTCCCTATTGCCTGGGGAGGATGAAAGTTGTAGTCCTCCCTGCAAGAATGGCATTCTTTCAAGGCAAGGTATTCTAATCGGCAATCCCATTCTGAACGTCAGTCTCCTATCGTGATAGTGTTATTTTTAATATTAGTCTTTTGTCTTTGGATTTTTTTTTCCTGCTGAAGAAAAGATTGAAATAAAAAGCAGACAATCTAATGTTTGATTCATTGGGGGGGGGGGCACTTTGGATTGCAGAAAGGAGATTTTAAGGACAACCAATTTCTTCAATTGGTTAGAGCCTTGATAGCACAATGGTTAAGCACCCTGTTATTAACACAGCTGCCTGCAATTACTGCTGGTTCGAATCTCTCAAGGCTCAAGGTTGACTCAGCCTTCCATCCTTTCTAAGGTAGGTGAAATTGAGGACCCAGTTTGTGGGGGCATAAGCTGACTTTGTATAAATATACAAAAGTATGAAGGCTATTGCTTAACGCATTGTAAGCCGCCTGAGTCTCCAGAGAAGGGCGGCATATTAAATCAAATTAAAAAAAAAAATTACTGGTAGCCCTTGACATACAACATTCGTTTAGTGACCGAAGTTACAACAGGGACTGAAAAAAGGGATTTACGGCATTTTTCACGCTTATGACCATTGCAGCATGTGATTGAATTCAAGGGCTGGGAAATTGGCTATATTTATGACGGTGGCAGTGTTCTAGAATCATGTGATCCCCTTTTGTGACCTTCGGACAGGCCAAGTCAATGGGGGAGCCAGATTCACTTAACAATTTTATTACTATTTAAAACTGCAAGGTTTCATCTAACCATTTGTGAAAAGAACGGTCTGTAAAATGGGGCGAAACCTTCTTAACAATGGTCTTGCTTAGCAGCAGAAAAGTTGGGCTCAGTTATGGTCATAAGTCAAGGATTACCTGTACAGAGACTCTGGGCAGCTTACAATACAATGAAAGTTAAAAAAGTGCTCAATTGCAGTCGTAAATCAAGGACTACCTGAAGTCCTTTGCCACAGGATAGTTTTCTGTAGAGAAAAAGATTTAAATAAAAAAAATACACCTATCCAATATCTGATTAACAAAGGAAGGTGGCACCTTTGGACTGCAGAAAAAGAGGTTTTTTTAAAAACAGCTAATTTCCTAAATTATACAGAACATCCGCAGATTCTGGCATCAGTTCTTCTTTCATCACAAAGGGGTGGGATGGGATGGGATGGGATGGGATGAGATGGAGTGGATGGGATGGGATGGGTTTACTATCCGGTTCTGTGGGTTGTGGCTGGTGGGCGTTACCTGGACTTGGTGGTCGTGGTGGCTTGGTGGGTGTGGCCTGGCTTGGTGGGAGGGCAGGGGAAGGATACTGTAAAATCTCCATTCCCACCCCACTCCGGGGGAAGGATACTGCAAAATCCCCATTTCCTCCCGATCAGCTGGAACTTGGGAGGCAGAGAATAGATGGGGGCGGGGCCAGTCAGAGGTGGTATTTACTGGTTCTCCGAACTACTCAAAATTTCCGCTACCGGTTCTCCAGAACTGCCCAGAACCTGCTGAAACCCACCTCTGAAGAGATCGTGGTTACGGAACAAATGACGATGCCTTTAGTTGAGCTAAACAGGCTTGGATACACCTGCTGAACCTGCCAAGGAGTTTGGGGGGGGTCACCTGGCTGAAATGGGTGGCGTAGGAACCCAGAGAGAGAGTGTGGCTGGAAGCTGATCCATAATGGAGGCGCGAGTCCACCAGACCGCCAAGGGGGGGCTGCTTCCGGGGATGCTGTTGTAGTAATTGTGTCCTGAGGAGTCTTCCTCTTCACCCCAAGAATCTTCCACTCCCATTGTCCTGATCAGAAAGACAAGTGGGGACAAGGCCAACGCTATATAAATTGAATGAATGAATGAATGAATCAAAGAAAGAAAGAAAGAAAAGAAAGAAAGAAAGAAAGAAAAAGAAGAGAAAAAGAAAGAAAGAAAACAGAAAAAAAAAAACAAACACCAGAAACAAGAGAACAATGTCACATATTTCAGAAACATAGACATCTATATGTGTCTGTGTGTGTCTGTGTGAGAGAGAGTCTGTGTGTGTGTGTTTATGAGAGTATGTGTGTGTGAAAGTTGTGTGTGTGAGTCTGTGTGAGAGAGAATGTGTTTGTGAATAGGTGTGAGTGTGCCTGTGTACATGGGTGTGAGTGTGAGCATGTGTGTGTGTGTTTGTGAGTCTATGTATATGTTTCTGAGTCTATGTGCATTTGTGTTGTGACAGGCTGTGTGTGTGTGTGAGAATCTGTGTGTATGTGACAGATTCTGTGCATGTGTGCTTGTGTATGTGTGTGAGAGAGTCTGTGTGTGAAGGAGAATGTGTGTGAGAGAGAAACTGTGTGTGTGTGAGAGAGAGAGAGAATCTATGTGTGTGCGTGTGTAAAGAAATCAAGGTGCATGCCACAATTACATGATCAAAACTCATTTTTACATGGTGTGTGTAAAATTGGGGGGGGGGTGCCTTCAATATCCGGTTTCAATTTTTTTTACTACAACTTGGGTCTCCCCCCTCCTGATCCAGCTCCTCCACACTAACACCTAATTGGCTCTTGGGTTAGGAGGGAGGGGCTGGCCCAGTGTCAGCCAATGAGCTTAGGTGGCTGAAGAAGGACTAGAACCTGGGTCTCCCAACCCCTAAACTTACCCTTTCCCCACCACAGCTGATTGGCTGTTAGACTGGACTGGCCACATACAGCCATGAGCTTTCATGACTGAGGGAGTACTAGATTGAGGTCTCCCTCTCCAGCCAGCATCTTCCTCACTACACTTGATTGGACTTGGGCTGGGGATCAGCCAATCTTCTGTAGCTGACTACATCTAGGCTCCTGTTTCTAGTGCAGGCTCACTATATCTGATTGGGTCTTGGGCTGAAGGAGGAAATGGCTCACATTCAGCCAATGAGCTTCCGTACCTGGGGGGGGGACTGGAATCCAAATTTCCCTGTCCTTAGTCCAGACCCTTCTCTATTAGATTATACTTGATTGGATCTTGGAATAAGAGGGAGGGACTGGCCCAGAGTCAGCCAATCAGCTAACTGGGGGAGGGGGGGAGGGAGCAATCTAGAACCTGCAAGTCCAAATGTACAGATCTCCACAGGATCCTCAACGCATGGGGAAACTGAGGCTACAATCCCATACCTGTGGCCAGGGGGGCTTTTTATCAGGTTGCCTGATCCGCCAGTTGTGTCCCTTTCTGGATGGGATGCCTTAGCATGGTCACTCAAGCCCTCGTCATGTCCTGCCTGGACTACTGCAACGCTCTCTACATGGGGCTCCCCTTGAGGAGCACCCGGAGGCTCCAACTGGTCTAGAATGCGGCCGCGCGGGTGGTGATGGGAGGCGACTCAGCGCTCCCATGTAACACCTCTCCTGCGCAAGCTGCACTGGCTCCCAGTGGTCTTCCGGTGCGCTTTAAGGTATTGGTTACCATCTTTAGAGCGCTCCATGGTTTAGGACCAGGGTATTTTCAAGACCGCCTTCTGCGCCAGTAGCCTCACCACCGCCACACAGAGAGGGGCTCCTCAGGGTGCCGTCGGCCAAACAATGTCGGTTGGCAGGCCCCCAGGGGGAGAGCCTTCTCTGTGGGGGCACTGACCCCTGGAACGAGGTTGCCCCCGGAGATACGGCGGATCCCGGATCTGCGCACTTTCCGCCGTGCCTTAAAGACGTTTTTGTTTCACCAAGGGCTGACTGATCTAACTTTTTAAAATTGTTTTAAATTTTAAATTGTTAAATTATGGGTTTAATATAGGGGTGTTTTAACTGTGGGCCAAATTAATTTAATTGAATTTTAATATTGTTTTAATTTTTGTATTTTCTGTATTTTATCTGCTGGCTGTTCACCGCCCCAAGTCCTTCGGGAGAAGGGCGGTATACAAATATAATATAATAATATAATAATAATAATAATAAATAATAATAAATAATAATAATAGTACCACCTCTCTGGGATGCTACAGTTTGGGGTGGCTGTGCAAGTACTGCTTAAAGCGGAGCTCAAGGCCTGCCCGACGGTGTTGATGATGCTTTGCGCCAATCCGTCACAGCATTCCAAGATGTGGCAAGCTGCCAAAGAGAAAGAGAAGATCCCCAACCAGAAATTAAACATATGTCAGGTTTCGATACTATCTCAAAATAAATGAATTTCCAAACTGCCGATCTTTGAGGAAATTTTCTCTTTATTGAGCATAGTGATCTGTCCCTGGCTCTTTTGCGGTCAGCACTGACCTTTGCCCCCAATCCCTCCCTTTCCGATCCCCAATTCTCTGTGTCTCATTGGCTATCTTCCAAGCCACTCTCCTCATCCCATCTCCGTCAGATCACAGGAATGTCCCCCCCTCCTCCCATCTCCGAGGAAACAGAATCTTCAAAGGAATTAAGTAGGCAAAAGTTCAAGCTTCTCCTCTCTTTTCATATGTCAGCGCTGGAACGCTGACAACATAATTTTCGCCGCCCCCACCCAAAACAGATACACAAGAAGACACAAATAGGAGCGGGATGCAGCTGCAGAAACAGCCAATGCAATCTTAGGCTGGGTTAACGGGGCCAATAGGGCTGTCAATGGCAGAACTCTGAAAGTAGGACATGCCTGGAGAAGTGAAATTGAAAGTGAAAGTGAAAGTGAAATCAAAAGTGAAAGTGAAAGCAGGGGGAATGAAAGAATAAAACTGAGGTTTTCACTTGGATAATATTCACATTCTTTTCCCTGGTTCTTTCATGGCCACCACTCACTGGCATATCGTACAGGTAGTCCACGTTTAATGAACAGTTTTAGCAAGCGTTCAAACTTACGACGGGCCTCCAAAAAGGTCCTTACGACTCGATTTCAAAGTTCTGATGGCCACACCCTCTGTCACACTAATGTGATTGCAATTTGCGCTCTTGGCAACCGGCTCGCATTTTACAGCTGCCTGCGGCATCCTGCTGTCATTTGACTGCGATTTTGGGGAGGTTTTGGTAGTTTCTAATCTTTTACTTCTAGTTGCCATAAAAAAAATGCCCACTGGGTATAAAGGATTTGTTTAATGACTAGTGGAATTGTTTAACGACCACCACAAAAAGGTCATAACATTAGGTACTGTCACGTGATGTCCCACTTAATGACTGTCACCATTTACTGTCTATGGAGATTCTCAGTCATCCAAGTCATGGTTGTCCCAAAGGTGCTTTTTCAAGAGGCACTGGACTTTTTTGGTTTTTTATGAAGTGAACTTCATAAAGTTCATCCTATTAAGATAATTGGATGAATTTCATAAAGTTCATCAATTAACCAATGGAATGTTTTGCCTTTAGAAGTTGTGGGTGCTCCATGTGAGAAGGGGATGGCTCCATGTGAGCAGCGGGCAAACACGCACGCATGTGATTGTCCACTATTCATGCAAACGAGGATCAGAAATGATATTCAGCAGCTTCTGACAAGTTCTGGAGAACCGGTAGCAGAAATTTTGAGTAGTTTGGAGAACCGGTAAATACCACCCCTGACTGGCCCTGTCCCCATCTATTCTCTGCCTCCCGAGTCCCAGCTGATCGGGAGGAAATGGGGATTTTGCAGTAATCTTCCCCTGGAGTGGCTGGGAATGGAGATTTTACAGTATCCTTCCCCTGGAGTGGGGTGGGAATGGAGATTTTACAGTATCGTTCCCCTGCCACGCCCACCAAGCCATGCCCACCAAGCCACACCACAGAACCCACAGAAATTTGTAAAAAAAAATTTAATCCCACCACTGGCGTGGATGTGCGCACCCACATGGACTCACTTGCCCACTCTTCCACAGCCCGGTTCCGAATAGTTCAAGCAGCCCAGGGGTTAGGGATCCCTGGTTAAATTAATCATGTAGTCGTTAAATGAATCTCATTCGCCCCCCCCCCCATTGCTTGTTGGAAGCCAGGTAGGAAAGTCTCAAATGGGGATCACATGACCTCAGGATACTGCAACCATCATATAAATACATGCCAATTGCAAGTGCCACATGCCCAATTTTTGATCACGCGACCAAAGGGATGCTACCATAGTTGTAAAGTCACTTTTTTTCAGTGCAGTTGTAACTTCGAAGAGTCGCTAAATGAATGGTGGTAAGTCGAGGAGTATATACACAAAATGCACGGATGTATCAGCTATGGAAAAAAAACTGCTGACGCCTGGTGCATGCATTACTCTGTACACAAAGATGAAACATAGCATAATTTTTAAATATCACCTTTCGCAAGCTCCTGTACCACGCCATTGGCGATAGCTTTTAAAAAGGGGCATGCCATTTCTCTAATCACACTCACCTCGCTGGTTGATGGGATCCTTGGCAACATAAGCGACGTAATCGGTTGTATCCTGGCCAGAAATATAATTCAGAAACAAGAGAGTTAATGTTGAGGCTGCTGAGGCTGAGAAGCAGGACTTATAGCGGGAGGAATGAAGAGGAAGAGGAGTTAAGATAAATTTAGCCTGGATATGTTATGGCCATGTTCATTGGCATTCCACAACCTCCAAATGTGCCGGATTACAGTTCCCATAATCCCCTGTCAAGGGGGGTTCAGATTTTTTCTTTTTAATTTAAATTTATACGTTAGAATGCAGAGCTGGGCCAAGGATGGGAAAGATATTAGCAGTGCACCAGTTGTGAATAGATTGGACATTTCTTCACAGGAGGGATTTAAAAGGAAGTTGGGAAGGCCTCTGAGGGAGATGTGGTAACCCTGGGTGAGGGGGTTGGACTAGATGACCTCTGGGGACCCCTTCCAACCTTTTCATTCTAGGATTCCATAAAAGAATAAATTAGCCAAAGTTATGGGTTATTAACCTTGCTTAGCATGCTGTGGGAATGCATCTGCCAGATCTTCATTGACTTGGTTAACAGTGGACTGGAATAATGTCACTCAATCCTTCATGACAGTGTTTCTCAAAGCTTGGCAGCTTGAAGACTTGGGGACTTCAGTTCCCAGAATTCCCTAATTAGTTATGCTGGCTGGGGGATTCTGGGAGTTGAAGTCCACAGGCCTTCAAGCTCACAAAATTGAAAAACACCAAATGAAGCAATACAGAAAATTGTAACTCTTTAGTGCCATCTCCTGGGTGCGTGAATGTTGCAACTCAAATAGAATAATGTATACAATGAAGGGATGTCCATAGGATTGGGGGCAAAAAGGTCAAGATGGCTGCTCCACTTGCCACCATCTTGGTTTTTTGGCCTATCTCTGCCAGGTTCTCTCATGACACCAAACCTTTCTTTTTCTCCTTTATTTAAGTCTTTTTTTATATTTTCTTCTTTATTCAGACTTTCTCTGACAGACCCAGGAGCAAAATCTTAGCTTCAGCCCCATTTCTGTACTTTCTTCAGACTGCACCTGTATCTGAGTCTCTTTTTCCTTCATTGTTTTTTGTCTGTTGAAGCTCAGTAGGCAGAATTGTGTGAGGAACTTCCTAAAATACTAAATTAACTTTTGGGGTCATGTTTTAACCAAGGATGTCCACAGCAGGATTAAAAAAAGTCAAGAGGCTGACAGTAGCTGAGTTTTTAGATTTTTCAGGGTTTTTTTATTTTACATATTTTATATTCTTTCTAGTTTTTAAAGTTTTTTACTGTTTTTTAAAAGTAAAAGCTTAAAATCTTTTAAAGCTTTTACTGTTTTTATTTATTTATTTAATTCTGAGTAAATAAAATACTGTTTTTATTCTATTCTTCCTATGCCGATCTACAACAATGATAAATATTTTACTTGACTACACCTGTATGATTGAAGCCCCACCCCCTTTTAATGGAGGTGTGGTCTCAATCCCGCAGGCAGAGCTGAGCTGCCATTTTGACTTCTTTGACCTCTCTTGGGTTTGGCCCTGATTTGAACAGATTAGTTTTACTAATTCTATGAAAAGGGCTGTCCCATCTTGACCTTGGTGATTGCCATAACATAGGGGAAGGGAATACCATATTTAGATTTTTTTTTTTATGGGAAGATGTCAAAATTCAAACAGAGTAATCGGGGGAGGGGTCAAAAATGGTGGCTATGATGATGCAATCATGTCTTACTTGGATCATGCATGCAGAACACATGTAAAAATGACATGTCATGTCTGCAAGAAGCCATCTTAATTTTTTTAACTCTCTACTACATCAAGGTTTCCCAGCTTTGGCCACTTTAAGACATGTGGACTTCAATTCCCAGAATTCTCAACAGTGGCTTTCCTGGCTGTGGAATTCTGGGATCTGAGATTTACACCACTGGAAGTGAATAGAGTTAGGAAACACCACCCTATATGGACATTCCTGTACACAAACCCTGGAAAGCTCTGACATCAACACCGCTTGGCATTCTGGGAAAATAAAATGACAGTCGACAACAGCTCAGGAGTGCCAAGAAACAAACTTTAGAGAAAGGGGAGAAATGGATAAAATGAATGTAATGTAACAAGGCAGCTTGACACGATGGCAGTGAATGGGTTCCCAAGAAAATGTGGTGAACAATTCTTCTCTGTCATTTTTAAATGTAAAGTAACACCCCAGTTTGACTCAAATGCTGCAAGGGGTCAATCCTTCCTTTCTTCTTTCATCTTTGCCCAGATTTGCAGATATTTCAATCTGGGTGTGCTAAGACTCCTGAGTTCAGATTTCAGCAATCTCTCCAGATAACTGAACTTCAACTCTCAGTATGTATTGTAACAGCCTGGCTAGCTGGACCCGGATTGTGGGAGCAATAAGCTGACTTTGTAGAAACACCGTTTATGGGGGGCCAAAAGCCCTAATAAGCAGGTATATACAAAAGAATGAAGGCTATTGCTATAAGTGCATTGTAAGCCGCCCTGAGTCTTCGGAGGAGGGCGGCATATAAATTGAACTAATAAAATAAATAAATAGCTGGAAATTCCTAGTCCATATGTCTTAAAGTGGCCTACTTTGGAAAACTAGACTCCTCAAATTCAGAGCAGTTCTTGACAGCTTTACCAAAGTGGTTTACCACTGTTTTCTCTCGTCTAAGATTTTCTGGTGGTCTCTTTTCCAGTAGTAATCAGGGCCAACCCTTCCCAGCTTGCAACCTCAAACAAGAACTCCCAGCAATGTGAGCCGTACTGGCTGGGAGCTCTGCAAGTCATACTGGCTGGGAGACCTTGTGTGAGGATGCAAGTTATGAAGGGTTGGCTCCTTAGTACTGGAAAAAGAGACCACCAGGAAATATTAAACGAGAGAAAACAGTGGTAAACCACTTCTGTAAAGCTGCCAAGAACTGCATTGGATTAGAGGAGTCTAAAACAGTGTTTTTTCAAAGTAAGCCATTTTAAAACATATGGTCATCAACTTCCAGAATTTCCCAGCCAGCCGTGCTGTACTGGGGAATTCTGGGAGTTGAAGTCCACGCATCTTAAAGTGGCTAAGTTTTTTTTTTTTAATTGAAAAAGTTTTACAATTACATTTTCTCCCCAATTCCCCCCCCCACCCTCCCTGGCCTCCCTAACCCTCCCTAACCCCCCTAACCCTCCCCTCCCCCCCAGACTTCCTCAGAATATAATCCAAATCAAAATCCCTTTTTATAAAACTTGAAACCGTCCACCCCTGTATATTTTTCACATCTTCACAAAAATTTATTATTCTATCCCTATATAATCTTTCAGTTAAAAGCTATCTGATATTGCCTAGTTTGATATTTATTCTGCACATAATCTACCCACTTTTTCCACTCCCATACATAAGTCTCTTGTGAGCGGTCTTTTAAATATGCTGAAATCTTCGCCATCTCTGCAAACTGGCCATCTTCAAAGTCCATTCTTCAATAGTAGGCATAGCTTCATTTTTCCAATATTGTCTATCAGTAATCTTGCTGCTGTTATCATATACAATATCAACTTTATTTCACCCAATGTAAAACCCTTAACTATACCCAATAAAATAATTGTGGAGAAAACTAAATTTTTTTCTTCAAAACATTCTGCATAACCCACCAGATTTTTATACAAAAAAACTGGCTAAGGTTGACTTAGTACAATTCAGGCCTGTGGCCTCTCAGTTTTGACTTCCTTGTTAAGTCCCACAACTGCTTGGACTGCAACAGCACAACTCCACAACCCTCTTCCTCACCTGACATGCTGTCACAGATCCACAAAAGATTTTGGTTACACTCTCTGGCTTATTTTAAAACTGTGCTCCAGTGGTCACTGGATTACCAGTATTTTACAGGTTGGAAGTGCCACACACTTACCAAATTGGCCGTGCTCTGAGCTCTCCCAATCTACAGATCCATAAACTGAAATAATAATAACTTTATTGTCATTGTACGTGTATACACAGTATACCCATACAACGAAAATTCACTTAACACCCAAAGACCAGGTCCAACACACATAACAATCCCCAAACATACTCACCCACCACAAATTCCTCACCCCTAAACCACCCAAACATCCACACAACAGACCAAGTAATGCTGCCCAACAGCTCACTGATGGTGAAACGTTATATATCCTGCTTGATATATAACTCCCTTCCAACTCTGTTCTTCTCTTATTCTGACCCAACGAGTTAGATTTCGCCCTATATGTTGCCTCAGAAAAAAATAACCTAACCAAGATTAAAAGCTAAATGGTTGTGAGAATGGAGCCGCTGGCTTTTTAACTCAACTTGGCTAAACAGATTCATCTTGTGAATCTGGCTAGCATTTCGCAGGGCGCAGAAGCTGCTTCCTAGCTTCTACGGAGGCCAAAAAAAAAAAAAAAAAATCCAGCTCATTAGTTGTTAAATTGCCTTTGTTCATTTCCTGCGAGGCAGAATCTCTCGCTCGCTTTTTCTGTGACATTTACACAGCCCAGACAAACACATTGAAATTTTGACACCTGAGCAAGCGGCAAGCTTTTCTCTAGCCTGGAAACAAGCCTTTTGTTATCGTGTGTGTGTGTGTGTGTGTGTGTGTGTGTGTGTGTGTGTGTGTTTGTGTGTTGGGCAGGTGTTGTGTTTTGTGTGTCTACATACACACACATACACACACACAAATGTACATCCTTTCTTACCTTCATACCTCTGCCTGCATTTCATCCCCATCTAGGGAAATGTTTTAGCAGAGACATCTTTATAAAAACACCATGCAGGTAATCCTCGACTTACAACAGTTCATTTAGTGACCAGAGTTCTAACGCCACTGAAAAAAGTTACTTATGTTATGACCGTTTTTCACACCAGTGACCATTGCAGCATCCCCATGGTCACGTGATCAAAATTTGGATGTTTGTCAACTTCTCGACTGGACTACTGCAATGCTCTCTACATGGGGCTCCCCTTGAGGTGCACGCGGAGGCTCCAACTGGTCCAGAATGCGGGCGCGCGGGGTGATATTGGGAGCGACATGGCGCTCACATGTAACACCTCTCCTACGCAAACTGCACTGGCTCCCAGTGGCTTCTTCGAGTGCGCTTCAAGGTGTTGGTTCTTACCTTTAAAGTGCTCCATGGCTTAGGACCTGGGTACCTACGAGACCACCTTCTGCAACCGATAACCTCCCACCAACCAGTATGCTCCATAGAGTGAGCCTTCTCAGGGTACCGTCACTAAAGCAATGTCGACTGGGGGAGAGACCTTCTCTGTGGGGGCACCTACCCTTTGGAACAGGATACCCCCAGGGATACGAATGATCCAGATCTCCGTACATTCCGTCGTGAACTTAAGACCTTTCTGTTTCACCAAACCGGGCTGGCATAAATTTTTTCTAATTGTCTAAATTTTATGCTGAAGATCTTAACTTAATGATGAGCCAAATTGTCTTAATTATTTTAAATTGCTTTTATTTCACATTTTTATATGTATATATGTTTGACTGTTCACCACCCTGAGTCCTTCGGGAGAAGGGCAGTATAAAAATTAAATAAATAAATAAATAAAAACTGGTTCATATTTACGACGGTTGCATTGTCCCGGGGGTCACGTGATCCCCGTTTTGCGACCTTCTGACAAGCAAAGTCAAGGGGAAGCCAGATTCCAGCAACAACCATGTTACTACCTTAACAGGTGCAGTGATTCACTTAACAACTGTGGCAAGAAAGGTCGTAAAATGGGGCAAAACTCACTTAACAACTGTCCCGCTTAGCAACTGAAATTTTGGGATCAATTATGGCTGTAAGTCAAAGACTATCTGTACCAAGTAATACCACATCGTCACTATCATCATAATTATTATCCTCACCATTATTATTTCGAAAAGACGTTATCGTCATGTTCTGCAGCAGGAGAATTACAGGGAGTCCTTGACTTACGACCACAACTGGGCCAGGGACTTGTTGTTTAATGAGTTACACCCCATTCTTTGCCATGGTCTTTAAGTGAGTCATGCGATTGCCAAGCGAATCCAGCTTCCCGGATTTGACTTTGCTTGTCGACAGTATGCTGGGAAGTCACATATGGCAATCCAGTGATCCTGGATGCTGTATTTGTCTTAAACAAAGCACCGTTGTAACTTTGAACAATTGTTAAACTGATAGCTGTAAGCCGAGGATTATCTGTAGTATCATTTTGTTAATTAAGAGAGTGTTGATCTCTGATTTTAGACTAAGGCTGGTTTTAGACTAAAAACTCTATGGATTGGGCCTCTATTTAGCAGGAAGGCAATTGTTTTGCTGTTGAACATATTTTCTTAATTAAATAAGGGGAAGAGGTGAAGAGTCTCTTTACTATGAGGTTAGGGTTCAAGTGATCGAGTTTCTCTTCTCTTTTTCATCCATTTACTTCCTTTCCTTTTCCTTTCTCTTTCCCTTTTGATTCTTTCCTTTTCTCCCTTCCTTTCTTCCTTCCTTTCTTTCTTTCCCTTCTTTTCCCTTCCTTTTTTTTTCTTTCCCTTTCCTTTCTCTTTCCTTTCTGTTCCTTTTCTTTTTTCCCTTCACTTTTCTTCCTTTCTTCCTTCCCTTTCCTTTCCTTCTTTCCTTTTCTTCCTTCCCTTTTCTTCTTTCCTTTCTTTCACTTTCCCTTTTCCTTTCCCTTTCTGTTTCTTTTCCTTTTCTTCCCTTCCCTTCCTCTTCTTCCTTTCCTTTCCTTTCTTTTCCTTCCTTTCCCTTTCCTTTCTTTCCCTTTCCTTTCTCTTTCCCTTTCTGTTTCTTTTCTTTTTTCCTTCACTTTTCTTCCTTTCCTCCTTTCCCTTTCCTTTGTTTCTTTCCTTTTCTTCCCTTCCTTTTCTTCCTTTCCTTCTTTCCATTTCCTTTTCCTTTCCTTTCTGTTTCTTTTCCTTTTCTTCCCTTCCTTCCTCTTTTCCTTTATTCCTTTCTTTTCCCTCCTTTTCCCTTTCCATTTCTCCTTTCCTTTCCTTCTCTTCCCTTCCCTTTTCTTCCCTTTCTTCCTTTCCCTTTTTCTCTTTTCCTTTCCTCTCCTCTCCTCTCCTTTCATCTATTTACTTTCTTCCCTTTCTCTTCTTCATCCATTCCTTCCTTTCCTTCCTTTTCCCTTCTTTCCTCCCTCCCCTCCTTTTTCACCATTTACTTCCTTTTTTTTTTCCTTCCTCCCCTATCTATTTCCTTCTCTTCCTTTCTTTTTATTATCCATTTATTTCCTTTCCCCTTTTCTTCCCCTTCCCTTTTGCCTTGCCTTTACTGTTGCCTTTTAGACATTATTTTAATCATCTTTTCTTGCAGCAGTGGAGTTTGGAAAAAAAAAAAAATCTCCTTGCCAAGGTTATATTATCTGCTGCTTTGAAAATGTCAGCTTTGTTAGATTCTGAGATAAATGACCTGAAGAAGGATCATAACTCAGTAACACAGAGACACAGACTGCCATGTAGGCACCATTTCTTCACATAATGCCTCATTCATCATCATTTAATGACCCCGTAATCCCTTGCAGGAGGGGTGGGAGTCTGGGCAACTGAATGGAGCTAGCAGAGTGTTTTAATGGCCGGATGCCTTTCCTGTCGCCAATGCAGAGTTTTGTTCAGCAGATAAATTCTCATTGTGCCCAGATAGAGAAATATCTGCCTCTACCTAGGATCGAACTCACAGCCTCCTGATTGTGAGGCAAGAGCTCCCCCTCTAGGCCACCGCACCACTCTCACACAATGCCTCATCAATACCCTGTGGAAATCATGGCTAGGAATGGCCACCAACTGGGATGGCTTTTAAAGAGGGCCAGACAACCAGTTGCCTCCTGAAAAAGCACCTTTGGGACATGCTGCTACAATGCCTTAAATATTATTAAACCAAAAAACCACATCTGCCTATCCCACGTCCTTGGGGAAGATTCAATAGGTGGACAAAAATGCCAAATCCAAATGCCAAAGAGCCTTGGTGGCGCAGCAGACTAAAGTGCTGTTAAGTAGCACCAGCTGCCTGCAGTTACTGCAAGTTCAAATCTCACCAGGCTCAAGGTTGACTCAGCCTTCCATCCTTCCGAGGTAGGTAAAATGAGGACCCGGATTGTGGGGGCAATAAGCTGACTTTGTATAAAAAGAACACCGCTTAGGGGCCCGAAAGCCCTACTAAGCAGGTATATACAAAAGTATGAAGGCTATTGCTTAACGCATTGTAAGCCGCCCTGAGTCTCCAGGGAAGGGCGGCATATAAATCGAACACAATAAATAATAAATAAATAAATCCAGGTTGAACATCTGGCTGACTGTGCAACCGACCATAAAAACATTAGCAATGGCAATAGCACTTAGACTTATATATGGCTTCACAGTGCTTTTACAGCCCTCTCTAAGCTGTTTACAGAGTCAGCCTCTTGCCTCTGACAATCTGGGTCCTCATTTTACCCACCTCGGAAGGATGGAAGGCTGAGTCAACCTTAAGCCTAGTGGGATTTGAACTGCCAAATTGCAGGCAGCCGGCAGTTACCAGAAGTAGCCTGCAGTACCACACTCTAACCACTGCGCCACCAAGGCTCACGAGAATTAATAATAATTCTGCATTTCTTTCTATGGATCTAAGCACCCACATTCCCTCCCGTGCACAGAACACATAACATTCAACGTTCCCCTTACCGTGTCACCCCCCGAAGCGAAGGAGATAGATTGCATGTGGTGATTCGCGATGATCTACAATGGAAACAGACAGATAGAGATGGAAGGGAAGGTATGATCAGCTTTGTGAGGAAGAAGGGGGAAAGGCCATAAAAAGGCTTGGGCATTGCTCAGCAAATTGGCTGGATCATATTGTTCATTAACAGGAATCTGCAAATTTGGCAACTTGAAGACTAGTGGACCAGTGGTGAAATCCTCTGAAGTCTACTACCAGTTCTTCGAGTCTACTATTGAGTGCGCGCTGCGCAGCGCTAAAAGATAAACATTTTGAAGCCTTCCAAGTCTGCAAAGATAAGTAGAATAGCGGGGGGGGAATCCGCTGTGCCACGTGATTTAGATTAGCTAAAAAGCAGGAAATCCGACGATTCTAGCTAATATAAATCGCGTGACACAGCTGATCGTCGCCCAGCTGATCGTCGGAAATACTGGTTCGCCCGAACCAGTCTGAACCGATAGCATTTCATCTCTGTTGTGGACCTCAACTCCCAGAATTCCCCAATCCTTAATTGGCTGGGATCACCCCATGCAGCCAGTTGAAAAAACCAGGTGTTTGCTATACAGGCAGTCCTTGATTTACGACCACAATTGGAAACAGAAAATTCACTGTTAAGCAATGCACTTATTAAAGTGAAATACCACATGACTGCATCCAACATTGCAACCTTTTTTTCAGCAGTCATTAAGCGAGACATCGTATGTCCACAACTTGCGTCCTTCCCTACCGATTTCCCGTTGTTGGATGCCAGCTAGGAAGGTCACAAATGGCGATCACGTGATCCCAGGATACCACAATCGTCATGAATGTGAATTCATTGCCAAGCACTCAGCTCACAATCGGTAACCATGGGGATAATGCGACAGTTGTAAGTGCAAGGACCAATTGTAAGTCAACGCTGTCGTAACATCACACAGTTGCTAAATGAATGGTCGTACGTTGAGGACTGCCTGTAAGTTGATTTTACTGCAAGGCAGTGCTTTCTGATTTTACCCATTCAAGAAAGGATCCCTAATTGACTGGGATCATCCATACGGTCAATCCAAGAATCTTATCTATCTATCTATCTATCTATCTATCTATCTATCTATCTATCTATCTATCTATCTATGATCTATTGTGTACTTCTTGCAGAATTATAGTTATACATTTCATTATTATGGCTATGGTCATCTCTTTTTAAGTAAATGTGCCGGTCAAATAGGAAAGAAAATGAAGGTGCAGAACTCTCCAATAATTCACAAATAAATCAGCCTGAAAGTTTGGAACAGCAAGTTCTAAATCAAAGGTTAACCTTCCGAATAGGAACAATTAGAGGGAAGACAAGTGTGATCTCTATAGAAAACCTTTAGGCAGGAGGGAGGCAAAGCTCTTTTACCAGAGCCCAGTCATGTTGAATTAGGAATAAGAAAAGAGCTGTCCTAGTTATCATTCAGTCTCAAAAAGATGATTGAAAGGTTAACTTGGATAATTGGGACTTTTTAAAAAAGAAAAAAAAATCAATGTAGATCAGAATGCTTCTGATTAGCATTTCAGTCGTTGTAGATGTCTTTCCCCCATGGTATTCATCGTGTATCCTCATGACAATCTTCTTCATTTTTTCTTTCCTCATCTAGCCATCCGAATTCTGTGGCTGCAGTGCATGAAATCGTTCAGGAGTTGCTTATTAAAGTTTCCTTTTCTGCAGAAAGTCTGCACTTCCTCTCAGGGTTTTTTTTTTAGAAATGTCCTTCTTCTGCTTGAGAGATTGACATTTTGGCTCCACGAGCAATGTCAATCACAATGGAAACAGAGCAATTTCCCCCCCCCCCCTCTACTTGGTGCTGGCTGTGAATTAAAGGACAGTAACTCATCACATGCCAGAACTTTTGTGCTTCTTCTTCTTTTTTTTTTATTCCCCCATAACTGCTCTGTGGCCTTTGATGTCTCCTTCTGCAATTATCTCAACTCGCTGCTAAGGGGAGGCAAATCACTCCGATGAGCCAGACTGGGTTAAGTTGCCCATCTTTGCAAGCAGACAAATCTGAACATTGGAAGAACTCATTGGCTTTAGATGACTGTTAGAATGCAGTACTGCAGCAGTGGTGGGTTCCTCCCGGTTCAGCCTGGTTCGGCCGAACCGGTAGCGGTGATGATATGACATCACCGAACCGGTTCTCTTTGTTCAGGAGCTGGGCCCTCCCGCCTCCCCCCCGCGTTATTCTTACCTTTTATTTGACTTCCGCCCCCAATCTATTTGCTGCCTCCCGAGTCCCAGCTGATCGGCTAGAAGGAAAAAAAACTATTTAAACTCTTGCCGCGGGGCTTCAAAGGGCCGCCCCACAGCTGATCAGTGTTAAAAGACAGTGTGGTGGTAGACCAGTGTGCTCGAAAAACAAATGGGTAGACTGGTGCTTCCAAAAGCAAATGGGTAGACCGGAACGCTCCAAGAATAAATGGGTAGATCGGTAAAGCTCTGCAAGCAGTTAAAAGCCTGGTAGACCAGTACCTCTGCTAAATCCTAAAGAATTGTCACCATGCCCACAAAATAAGCCACGCCCACAGAACCAGTAGTAAAAAATTTTTAGAACCCACCCCTGTACTGCAGGCTACATTTGCTGACTGCCGGCTGCCTGGAATTTGGCAGATTGAATCTCACCAGCTTCAAGGTTGATTCAGCCTTCCAACCTTCCAAGGTGGGTAAAATGAGGACCCAGATTGTTGGGGGCAAGAGGCTGACTCTGTAAACCGCTTAGAGAGGGCTGTAAAGCACTGTGAAGCGATATATAAGCCTAAGTGCTATTGCTGTATACAATGGCACCTAGCAGTATTTGTATTATTAATATTTATATATTAGATTTGTGGGCTGCCCATCTCATCTAGAGGTGACTCTAGGAAAAGTTATATAGAATTTATCAGACTGTGTGTACAATCCATTTTCCTTGTTGTTGTTGTTTCAAAAGTGCTGGACTGCACCTTTTCCAGCCATGCTTAAGGCAAAGTCTTTTTTATTAATATAGGATGGCCTACATTCCCCCCCCCCCCCATTAAAGCCTTCTTTGTCTGCATTACAAAGTTTGCAGTCCGGACGTGGCCAGCCATGTTCCTGCTTGTTTGTGTGTTTCTTTCCCCTAAAAAAATCTTAATAGCGGCTTCTTTTGCAGCCCCATTGTATTTGTCAAGACAAAAAACCCCACTGAACTCATTAGAACTTACATCCAGGCAAATGTGTTAAAAATGGGCTTCAACCTATGTTTTGGCTTGTTTTCTTTGGCAGTAATTGCTGACTGGGAAAAAAAAAAGCTTGATAATCATTAACATGTATATAGCAAGAAGAACAATGTTTTAGGAAACTGGTCAGGTAAGAAAAGGCCTTTCAAAGCAAACACCCTTATGCTGAGATTTAATAAACGGGGAGCCAAACTTTAAAAAGAAAAGCAAATAACTTCTTCGATGCCAGAATGAATTATTTATTGTTTTGAAGACACAGATTGTTTCGAGCAGATTAATTAAAGTGCACAACTTCTGTAAACAACTATATGTTTTTTTTATTATTATTATTATCATTATTCGTCGGAAGGGTGATTCATCATTTGCTGCCTGCTTAAAATGGGAAATGGCCATAAAAGGAGAAAAAGGGCAACGCTGACCAGATATAATTAGAACAGCCTGAGAAGATGGTAGCGAATATGATTTTTCTTTTCTTTTCTCGGCCATGTAAGATGCCATTGCTGAGCAAATTACATTCTCTTTGCAAATGACTAAATGGATTACTCTGACATTCACTTTATCAGGCAAAAATAAATCAAGGAACGGGGATTCCTTGGAATTGCAAGCAACTTGGAAAATGCAAATTATAATGACGATGGGGTGGAAATATAGAAATGGCTTTTGATTAACGGTAGAAAAGTTGCAATCCAGATGGGTGGGGGAAAATGCACCTAGCTGTTTAAACCCAGTTTTCATATTTGCCTAATAAAGAGGCATTGAATGGAATGGCTGATTCCAGTGGTGAAATTCAAATTTTTTTACTACTGGTTCTGTGGGCGTGGCTTGGTGGGCGTGGTGTGGCTTGGTGGGGGTGGCAGGGGAAGGATACTGCAAAATCCCCATTCCCTCCCCACTCCTGTGAGAAGGATATTGCAAAATCTCCTTTCCCACCCTATTCTGGGGCCAGTGAATAGGTGGTATTTACCGGTTCTCCAGAACCTGTCCTGTACTCAAAATTTCCGCTACTGGTTCTCCAGAACCTGTCAGAACCTGCAGGATTTCACCCCTGGCTGATTTGCATTCTGGCCAATGTGGCATCTCCCGGTTGAATTTCTTAACCTTTTTAGAACAATAAATTAACATCCAGAAAAGGACTAATATTTTCTGCCTCTCCTTCGCAGTGGAAGATGTGAGACAACTGTGGGAGCCAAGCAACATGGAGAAAATAGAATTGGGGCATACTTTATCTTATAGGAAAGTGTGAAGCTGGGCACACTTCCTGCCTCTTGCCTGCGAAGCTGTAAGCTGTCTGCTCAATGTACCAGAATGTACCAGAATGCATTATTTGAGAGGCAGATTAAAACCACAGTCTTCCTGCAGTGAATGTTCCAGGCTCAGCAAAACCTGAATGGTGTCGTCCCAGATTTACTGATGCCTAAAAGGCGTTTCTAAGTTATTTTTTTAAAAAGAAGAAGAAAAAGGGAAAATGAAGAGGAAAAAAGAAAATGAAAGAGGAGTAAAAGGAAGGGAAGGGAGGGGAGGGGAGGGGAGGGGAGGGGAGGAGAGGAGAGGAGAGGAGAGGAGAGCAGAGGAGAGGAGAGGAGAGGAGAGCAGAGGAGAGCAGAGGAGAGGAGAGGAGAGGAGAAAAAATAAAAAGTTTCCACTGGATACAGGGTTTAATTTTATTTGAAAATGTCTCGAAGTTACAATACAATAAAGTTTAAAGTATATGTTTATTGTTAACTTTTTTGTTTATTGATTGATTGGCACCCAAACTGGAGTTATAGTGTCATTACAAAGGAAGTCATTCATATTCAGTTTACTTGATATTAC